TGCGCCCAAGGGGGACGTGAAGCACAAGAGACGGAAGAAGCTGCGTCGGCCACTGCAGCGCTGAGGGCAGCGCTGGGCCAGGTGCTCAAAGGGCTCTTTCCAATAAACAAAACTCTATTTTTCCTTTTTAGAATGCCTTTTAAATACTCTGGAGCTTCCCAAGGGAACCAGGTGGGGGGGATGGATACATACAGCCATGGCCAGAGGCACAAACACCTGGTGCCACCCTGAGCGCAGGGGGACGTTACCCCAGTGCCACTCACATAGTGTTTTGCTGCTCCTTCTTCTCTTGCTTACCTTCCTCCTCCTCCCAGTGCCAGAGCCTGGGTTGGCTTTTCCTGCCTCTCAGCTGCTTGAGGGCCCCTCATCCCTTTCCCAGCAAGGAGCTGGGAATGGATGTGGGGGGCTGGATTTGAGGAGGTGCTGCCCCACCATGTGTGACCCGAGCGTGTCCCAGCTGGAAATCGGGTGTTACCAGTAGCAAACGCCTTTGAGATGGATTTGGTTGAATTCAAACTGGAGGAATGGGCTCCAAGGAGCAGCTCTGGGCTGGAGAAACCTTCCCCAGACCCTGGCGGGAGCTGGAGGAGTCCCTGCAGCAGCCTCAGTACTTGTTGATGCCGAAGACACGGACGCCGTGGAACTGGGGCAGTTTGGGCAGGAGGACACTGAGCAGCGAGGCTGTGTTCACCAGGAAGTGTGTGGGGTCATACTTGGTGTAGAAGCTGGTCAGGAGGTACCTGGGGCACAGGGAGACACGGGGTGAGTTCCAGGCTGCTTCCACTGCTCACTGGGGGCATTTTGGGTGCTTGAGAGAAGCCCACAACGGTTTATGTTGAAGGGACCTTAAAGCTCATCCAGCTCCAACCCCTGCCACGGGCAGGGACACCTTCCACTAGAGCAGGTTGCTCCAAACCCCTGTGTCCAACCTGGCCTTGAACACTGCCAGGGATGGGGCAGCCACAGCTTCTCTGGGCACCCTGTGCCAGCGCCTCAGCACCCTCACAGGGAAGAGCTTCCAATCTCCCTCTTGTGTTGGGAAAAGAGCACCTCTAAGCTGGGGAAGCCCTCGGCAGCCCCAGGACGCCCCCCAGCACCATCCTGCCCAGCTCAGCAGCACTCACAGCACCACCGGGGAGATGCTGAGGAACTTGCGGGCTGCGGTGCACTGCGTCCCGTAGTCTATCTGCTCCCAGTGTGTGAGGAGCCGGTCCCTGCCCTGGTCCGGGGTCTCGAAGGGTGTCCCCTTCACCGCGTGCAGCAGCACGTACATGACCTGTGGGGGTGAAGGAGGGAAGAGCTGAGCCCTCAGCACCGCCAGGCGCCGCCCCGGGGAGAGGGGGCAGAGGTGACCTGACCAGGTTGTGGATGACGTTGGTGAGTGTCCAGACCACGGGCACGCTGAAGAAGGGGATGCTGAGCAGCACGACGTGGAGGACGCCCACCGAGGCACCGTAGGCCACCCAGATGCCTCTGCTGTTCATCACCCGCGTGTTGGGATTCACCTCGCTGTGAGCCACGCCGACG